ACCTTTATACAAGAAACTGAGTGGGCCAGGCTTGATAACCGGGTGAGCATATAGGGTTTTTAACTCACAATAATTAAGTTTATTAATTTCATCAAAGCATTCAACCTAATTATCCATTCCCGTTATCCTCACATTACGTCCCTAAAGCATCTAATTCAAGGGACCTATCCTAAGGATTTTCATTGGGATGGAAAACATTGCTTAGGAGATTCCTCAGAAATTTATGTCAAATAAGGAAACCATGAGGGGGATGGAGTACATTTGGTGAACACGTAGTTCAAATAAACACCTACAGGTTGCGAGCCTGCCAGCGTTCGACTAGACTGTCTAGAATAGTCTGTGGTCGTCATCTATACTTCACTAAATGACTGGATCATCGTAAACATCGAAGCCTCTCACCATTTTATCACACATCGACTAGTTCATATACTCATGTTTTACCCAACATATTCGTATATATAAAATACATATATAGTTTAAATCATTTAAAACTTGTATAAATCGTTCATCCAACATAGATATCAAGAACACAGATAATATGCACACATAGCACGTAATTTATATTAAATACTTCATATCTATGTGTATGTTGAAACTAACTATGCACTCACTTGTTAAAGTGATGATTCCAAACTAGGATAACGCTTCGCTTCCAACAATTCTATTTTCCTTTGATGAACCTAATATCATTATCACTAGATTTTAGTCTAATATTTATTGCGACTATTTACGAATAATATCGTTTTATAAGTTTTAAACAATACTTTTCAACCACTATGTACAGACGGGGGACAGACATGAAACACCGAAGGGCAAGACCATTTTGGCATTATAGCACTTCTGAAGTCCAACAACCCTATGCGGCCCTTCAAACTAGATTCCCTATACCACGAGTAGTTAAAAGCTATTATAATAACACTTTTTATATTATATTATATTATATTATATTATATATATATACATATATATATATATATATATATATATATATATATATATATATATATATATATATAAGTTCATAATAATGATAATAAACTTAAACATAAGCTATACTTAATGTAGGGTAAGCATAAGTCACTTACCGGGAGGTTTGGCTAGAAACCGGGCTCTACAGGGGCAGAACTACTGAGCCAAAAAACACTTTTTCTCGGAGCCTTTTGGCACTCCAGGACTCGCTTCTAACACCTAGGAGGTTTTAGTGAAAAGATAATAAGTTTAGGAGTAATTGGGAGAAAAGAAGTGGAGAGGTGTGAAGAAAATGGGAGATTTGCACCTCTATTTATAGGCTGAGTTCGGTGCGAATGCGGGGTGTTCAAGAGCCGTACTCAGGATGTTTGTGAATGCTACGCATTCCCTATTTGAACACTAGGCATACGTGGCCTGGTGTCACCATCTGGTGGCAAGCCGTTGTGAAGAAGCAGTGGCTCAGATCGCGCCACGTGTCGCCTCCAGGTTATTTCAAAAGCTAATTATCTTCTAACATCTGTAAATTTTGCATACGAGCTCTGTTTTTTATGTTCTTTATATACACGCGTAGGTAGTGATAGGATCTATAACTTTCCTTTTGACCCGATCGGCTAATTCTATATCGATTTTAAATTTAACAGTATGAAAAGATTACACAGTTAACGACCGTGTAAAATTCATGACTTCTACATACGGACTCTGTTTTCTACTGTCTTTTTATTGTTGAACTCCTATTGATGAGATCTTCATTCTCATTTAGGTTGTGCCGGCTAAAAATCAATCGATCTAAAATTCGATTTCCGAGCTGTGAACTGCTAGGCTAAATCTTAGAAAAAATATAACTTCCTCATACGAAGTCAGATTTGGATGTTCTTTCTATGCACACTCTTGGTTTAATGTATACTATGAATTTTGTTTAGATCACTAAGGATAAAAAGTATTTTATGGGTAACTTACTTTTTACGTCACACAACATCGTGCCGGTTATGTCGCAAAACTTTAACAAGTCATAACTTCTTCGTTATAAGTCGGATTTCAACGTTCTTTATATCTTCGGAATCATTTTCATGACCACTACAACTTTATTCATAGATATTCTATCTATATAATATTTCATTTTTGATGTTTATTTTTATTCTTAACTTATTATATCTTATAAATAAGTATAATGCACATAAAATCACATAATCGTATAATATTCAAATAATTCATCTTTATTACTTCAAATTAGGTTATAATCGTTAACCTTAACTATTGCATCATTATACTAATGCTTAGCCTAGAAACATGGGCGTTACACCCCAAGTCCCATAGCATTATTATAATTGATCTTCGGGTCACGGTCTCAAACTATGGAACAACTCAAAATAGGGAGTTACAAAAGGAACGGAAACGAAAGGCGACACTAGATATAGAAACAGGAAAATAGTCACCAAATCGGAAGCCGGTGATGAGACAAAATTTTTTCTTCCTGAAAGACAGCTCGTAACCTCGAATCTCAAAAATCATTTCCTCTAGTTGGCTTCGGGGGTTGGTGATAACTTCGTAGCAAAAGACGTAATGTAGAAGCAAAGGATCACCATCTACATTAGGAATGCATAACCATCTCCGAAAACATGTATTCCAGAACATAGTCTCGCATTCGGGTCTGTTTCTGAATTCCGCTAGAATTTCCCCACCGATTTTAAGTTTACTCGAGAGTGTAATTGATGCATTAAAAACCATGTCATCCTGCACAAATAAAAAGTTATCACTTCATTCTAAAATAGAAATGATAAATATTTCAGACCTGTTTTCATGTTCCGGACGAGTTTATCGTGTTCCGGAACAGTTCTTCGCGTTCCGGAGGCTTCGGGAATGAAATTTTAAGATCCAAAACATGACTTTCTGATGTAAATCAACAATACCTAAACATCAAAACTACCTTTCTGTTTGTCCTATAACATTGACATCTTTAATTTAAGCTCCGGAATGTTTTCACTTCGTTCTGAAGGTGGTATACGAATTCCGGAATGGTAAGTAACATTAGAAAAATAAAAACCTTAAACAAACAAAGAGAAAACGAAGAACGTGCCCGTAAAATAATAGGGTTGTAAATGATTATATGGCAGGACACGACTCTCTCTCTCTCTCTCTCTCTCGGCCGGTTTGTGTTTGATAAGCACCCAAGAACTTATTCATAGAACATCATTTGCAACCACCACCGTTCGACCGTTATCCACCACCACCACATTCCGCCACCACCACTGTCAGCCACCTCCACCTCCATATCCACCTAAAAATTTTCTGCTACTTCATCTTTGCGAAAAAATCATCCCAGAAACAAAAGTCATACACAAAAATCTTGGTTTGTTCTTAAGTTCGCCCATATCTGATGAATACACACACACGCATAAGAAATCAGATCTAATGAACACGCACGCAAATACAAAATCATATCTAATGAACACACACATATACACACAAAATCAGATGAACACACGCACACAAAATCAACATACATACATACACAAAATCATATGAGCATACACACACATATGAAATCATATCATCACTTCAGCAAAATCGCACCACTCATTCTATTGCAATAGATTGATTTCTCTTATTTCTTCTTTCTTAAAAGCAATGTCTAAACAACCGAAATCAAACTCGCTGATAGTTGCAGATATGCGGGGTTGGGTTTTCTTACTCTGAACTCTCAAGAACAAACCCCAAAATCAAATAGGAAATCGAATATATATGTTCTGGAGCTCTTTTCTCTCTCTACATATGAAAACGTAGTTATGTATGTGCGTGTGAATTCGAATTTGAAAACTAAACATGTGTGATTGTATGTGTGTGTTAAGTTGATTCTAGAAAACAAACATATGGGTGTGTATTTCTAGAACATGTTTAATTCAAGGTGTTCTTGTGTGAATCTGGACTATATTTATTTTGTTTCCTCTCCTCAAGAACAAAATCAAAATTGAACAGATGGTTTTGTGAACGAAAAGGCCGAATAGATGAACACCATCTTTGTGTTCATCAAATCTGGAAGTGTGTGTTCATTAGATCCGGATATGATTTTTTGTTAAATGAGGAAGAAAATGAAGAAGAAAAATCGATGATGATATTTATTGGTAGCTTCAACGGACAGTGTGGCTGGTAATCAAGATATGTGTGTGAGAGAGGGAGAGGGGTGGTCCTCTTTTATTTTTTACTTATTAAAATAAATAAATAAATAAGTATTAAATTTTTAAAAAATAAAAGAAAATATAAAAATAAATACCCAAGGGTATTATAGTTATTTGAAAATCTGGAGGGACCAAATACCCAATGAAACTGACTTAAAAGGATCACGAAGCTAAAACATTGAGGTTTGGACTAAAACTCGGAAAAAATGCATACCGCAAGGACCATTTTTGCAATTTTACCTATTTTAGCGAACTAACAAAATGAATCATTAGATAAATGAAAGGTAAGATGATTCATAAGAAACAATTCCCCCCAAAAAAACACTTTATGATTCATTTTTATATAAATCAAGAAAAAAAAAATCATTTTTATGACAATTTTAGTAGATAAAAATAAAATCATCGTAAAAATGAATTACCGAGTTGTTTTTCGGGAGTTTCTTTATGAATCATGTTATTTTTTATTCATATTAATATAAAATATGAGGGGGGAAAGTGATTTTACAAGGGTAGTGTATACTTCCAACATGGAAGAGTGCGGTTGCATTCTTGTACACAAACGCATGTTTCGTGCCTATTGCCTCACTCCATCACATGTGTGTCTTATTGGATGAGACTTTTATTATTTGAGAAAATACCGGCTATAGACAAAAAAAAGGGGGGAAATTTAAAAATTTATATAAAAAAAATCCAGCTATAGACATGCATTCCGCAGAGGGCCCTCTGCGGACCTCTGCGGAGAGGGGTATTTTTGTAATTTACCTCCGTGGAGAGGGGTAATTTTGGTATTTCACATTCATCTTTTTCACAAAACCGGACGCTCCTCTTTGGTCCCCCACTGTCCCCCATTCCGTGTTTATGAAGACGAGTCTCCGCATCGAATCTCTGTCTTCTCCGACAGCACTCCAGCGACCGCCAATTGCCGACGACGAAACCGGCGACCAAGATCGACTTCCGGCAGTTGTAACGGAGGAGAATTTCCCCAATATTTTGAGCGATGGCTTAGGCTCCCGGGTAATTGTCACTTTCCCTTATTTTGATTAATTGATTATATGTTACGAAATTGTTGAAAACCAATTAGATTAAAGTGAATAAATAGGAAAAAGAAGGGAAAAAATGGGATACGAACTGAAAAAATGGAGGGGGGGGGGGGGGGGAGGGGGTTTAGGGTTCTGGTGGGAAGATCCATTCCGTGGAGGGTTATATATGTCCGCGGAGGACCCTCCGCGGAGTGAAGCAATGCTCCACGAAATATAAAAAAGAGGCTCCACGGAGGGTGGAGGTCTATCCGCACAGGCTTCTCCGCGGAATGACCTTAAAACTGTTTTTGTAGATTTTTTTTTTGTCTTTCTGTTATATGAAATTAAATTTTAATATTATGTTTTGCACCACTTAGACCTCAATCAAAAAGCTGATTTAACTTTAAAATGTGTGGTGGGTACCATCATTAATAAGTATTTTCCGCGGCTAACACAATCACAATGACAATTATTTGAAGCTTCACCGTTTCGAATATTTTTAGGGATTCATATCCCACATGGTGATTCGTTACTTGTGCATATGATGATGTTGCATGAAGTAAGGACTCAAGAAGAATTTGAAATGTGGAGGTTTTTATTTGATATAGAAGGGAGGCATTTGCAATTTGGTGAAACGGAATATATTCTCATTTGTGGGCTAAAAGTTGGTCGTTATGTGGATTTACTCTACGACGAAAAAGGCCGGTCAAATTCAAGTCTTCGTGTTCGTTTGTTTGTAGACATTTCTGATGCACGTTTGCGATTGAAAGATTTTGGAAGACTTCATTATCTCTCCTAAATATTTGGAAGTTGAAGATGAAGATGCTATGATGCTTATCCAGCTAGTGTTTGTGTTGAAGGGACTCCACGGACGGGACGTAAAAACGTGCATTCCCGCTGCAATATACAATCTTGCTGATAATAGAGATGATTGGAACAGGTATTACATTTAAATATTGTGTAATAATAATAATAATAATAATAATAATAATAATAATAATAATAATAATAATAATAAGTTTAATATTCATATTGCAGGTTTGCATGGGTACGTATCTTTGGAGGTATACTTCGCGGATGATGCGTGGAATGTTTAAAAAAATAGTAGAATTTAGACAATTCAAGGAGGCTAATCCTGAATCCAAGAAAATACACAAGTATACCGTTTCTGGTTTTATGCTGCCATTTAAGGTTATTTTCTAATAAATTTAATTACTTATCATTGTTTTGTTTTTATACGATAATAACATTCAACTTCTTTCTATAGATCTGGATTTTGGAGACGTTCCCCGAGGCAACAAAATTTTATGTACGCATCCCGATAGAATTGCCAAAGATGAGGTGTTGGAGAAGTAAAACAACGTTATCTTGGGAGAACTGTTGTAGAATAATCAACGTGTATGTGGTATGCTTTTTATATTAAGGATTATTTATACTTACAAATTCCACGTATTTTCATTTTTAAGTAACAATTTGATTTTAATTTTAAAATTTTGCAGCCTAACAACCAACCTATTCAAGTGGTGGCAAACGAGACGGAGCTGATGTTGCCCTTTTATGTTCGATACGTGAATTGGACTCTTAACCATGAAGAGTCTCCTCCATTGCAACATAGTTCGATCCGAAATAGTCCACCTGCTGTTCAGTTGCCTCCTCGTAGAAGTATGTACAAGTCGAATACATGTTCGACTGAATCTGCCACAAATGCTTCTTCCTCGCAACAGCCTGAAATAGAAACGACGGTGGTAAAGAAGAAGAAGAGTAGAACAAAGGCATTAGTGAAGTGTCTACTAGGCGTCGTGGCTGAATTATCATCTAAAGTAGACCGTGTATTAGAAGAAAAAGATGAGCCAAATAAACGGTTTGTAAAGGATGAGGAGGAAGATGAGGAAGAGGTGGAGATGATAAACGAAGAGGGTGAAGAAGCATATTGCCATGATACACAATTCGACTATGCTGGTTTGGAGGAGAAAGTTGCGCCTACACCTACGGAGCCGTCACCAGACTTGAGTGAACATGACACAAAAATAGTGACTCCTATTGGTAGGCCGCAACGAAAAAGGGCTCCAGCATGGTATCAGCGCACTCTGTTCACAGTGGTAAAAAACTCATATCTTAAACTTGGTATTTTAAAAAAAATACTACATTATTGATAATGATTAAACATGTTGATTTTTTAGGTGCAATCGACAGCAAAATTAAAGAAAATCAGCAAGACAAGGAAGACAAAAATTGAGGAGAGTCCTAAAAAAACAAATGAGGACATTGTCAATGCAGAGAGTAGTGACGTTCCTTCAAACAATCTCTTGTTGTACAATATTTTTACTACTAGTCCGATGAGTTTTTGGCAAGAATGGAGTTTAATCTCTCCCAAACTGATCACTAAACATAGGTTGCATATCCTCCCACTAGATATGGATTTTTGGGCGAGGTTACTTTCTCTTAGTGACAAAGGGTGGTTAGTTTCTACGGTAACATTCCTTTAATTAAAATTTTAACTATTTTTTAGACAAAAATCTATATAAATAATTCTAACATTTTTATATTAAAATGTACAGCATATTAGTATATGGAGATCCCTGTTGATGGAAAGGCGGCCGACGAACGCTCGGTGGACTCTATATCCTGAAGGAATCAATTTGGAACCCGGAAAATCATATTTATTTAGGAATGTAGCAGATGGTTTTGGAGGTTGTCCTAAATGGAAGGATGTGGATACGGTTAGTTAAGTTTAATAATTATATATATATATATATATATATATATATATATATATATAATATTACTGAAATTACTAGTATTTAATTTAATTTTTTTTGCAGGTTATATTTGTAATAAATGTTGTGCATGCCCATAGGTTTTTGGCGGTTCTACATTTAGATACTTGGAAAGTAGAAATTTTTGACTCAGCACAAGTTGCGAGTTACTTCTCAACGTACTTAACTAATGGAGAATTCAAAAGTTTTGGAGACAGTATTATCTCAGAGTTGGATGTCATTGAGTACTGGAAGCATTTCCCCATTGGACACAGAGACAATGCAAAGGTCGAGTTTGTTGATGTTGTAGACACCCCACAACAAGAATATAGTCTTGAAAGAGGGGATTGTGGAGTATTTGTATGCATGTTTATGGAAATGATTATTTATGGGGTACTAGTGGAAATTTCAAGGACATCTAGAGAAGCTGCATTTCTCTACAGAAATAAGATGGCAAATGTTATTTGGGATACTATATAAGTTGATATTAGGAACTTTATATGTATATTAATATTAAATACTTGTTTCTAGTATGTAATCGTGTCACTACTGGTAGTATGTAATCCTGTAATTATCTTTTATATTTTTTAAACATAATTCACCAACAAATGTTACGAAACCATACATTCAAACAAAATAAACATTACAAATAACATGAAGACATTACAATAGAGTCGTCTACATAAAAATAAGGTTTCTTACGGCTAACAACATTAGATAAAACATTGGAAATAAAATACTCATCTACCTGAAAAAAGCTTTATCTTTTACCAGATTCCAAACGTCCGTATACTCGAAATCATGTCCATCAAACTCGCATAGGTAATATCCATTCACATCTTCAAGTAGTTTTTCATCATCTGCTTGAGAGCGTCGCATCTTCTCATGATTGTAGCATCGATTGAACCATGTGACCTTAAACTTTAAATCCATCCATTTACTAACAACATCAAATTTTAGTCGTTCGTGTCCTTGCCCGACCTGATAGTTGAACAAAGCTATTAGGTGGGACCATTCATCACCTACAAGGCAATTCAGGGGAGCCACTACTGGTATACCCTCGTAAATGGTAATCCAACTTTGTATTAGGACCAACAACTCTGTTGTCATCCATGGAGATGTACAATTTGTTAGAGAGGCTACATTAGATGGATTTGTTGCTGTCGAAGAACTTGGTACATTGGACACCATTTCTTAATTGATCTACTATCAACTAAAGAATTGAATTTCGTATAGACACTACGTTTAATATATATACAAACATATGTTATACAAAGATATGTCAGTAACGCGGACTGACGAGTCAGTAAAGCGGACTGACGAGTCAGTAACGCGGACTGACAACAATTAATATATATAAAAAGTTTCTTATCGCGGACTTACGAGTCAGTAACGCGGACTGACAACGATTAATATATATAAAAAGTTTCTTAACGCGGACTGATGAGTCATTAACACGGACTGAAGAGTCAGTAACGCGGACTGACGAGTCAGTAACGCGGACTGACGAGTCATTAACGCGGACTGACGAGTCAGTCACGCGGACTGACAACAACTAGACAAAACAGTTTTGCGGACTGACAAGACAGTAATGCGGACTGACAACTCAGTAACGCGGACTGATCATTCGCTTTGCGGACTCATAAGTCAGTAAAGCGGACTGACAATGCAGTAACGCAGACTGCATTTTGTATTGTTCTTGTATTTCTTTATTTCAATGTAATATGGTATTTATCCTTTATTTTACAAAAAATATTTTACCAACAAATGTTACAAAACCATACATTCAAAAAACATTATCTGACAAACAGCTTACGCGGACTGACAAATAAGTTACGCGTAATGAGAACACATTTACGCGAACTGACAAGTAAGTTCTGCGGAATAATTTATACTAATTCCTTATATATTGGACAACCATGACGAAAATTTACAAGGTGTCGAAAGTTGTGAAAATGAGTTCAGTCACTCAGGTATTAAGGAAAAGTTTCTCCAGCCTACCGACTTTTTTCCATAATCTGCAAAGAAGCAATCCTACCACCTTCACGTACATTACAAAGGATCAGTACAATCGTTTCCAAATTTGTTTCGTGGCATTGGGATGCATGGTATGTAGTCCCTTATAGTAAATAAATATTTAGTTATTTCAAGTTGTTATATGCCTAATATTCTTATGTTGACTTACAGTTTCGTACGTTTCTCACGTCTATGATACCAATCATATTCGTTGGTTAAGTACCTCCAATTGGGGCGTATGTAACATCCATGTACATTGCTGTTGCTTTAGATGGAAATCATGAACCCCTTCTCATAGCGTTTGCCTTGGGAACCATAAACTGTGACAATTCATGGTTATGGTTCATGAGGAGGCTTAAAGAGTGTTTAGGTGACAATACATAATTTGGTTTCATAAGCCATATCTCTGATTCTATAGACTTTGCAGTCCACGGAGTCTACCCTGATTCATATCATGGCTATTGTTGTAAAAATATAGCCGATAAAATACGCGCTTCCATCGGAAACAATACAGTCGTAGAACAGTTGTTCTGGAAGACGTGTAAAGTGTATAATTTATCTCAATTTTATGCATGTTTGAACAATTTTAAAAATGAGGTAAATGGGAATGATCTTCATTGGCTTGACAATATTCCCATTGCAAAATGGGTACGGGCTTGTTTTCCAAGTCTCGTCTCGGGCTCTCACTGAACGTCGTGACCTCATTGAGGCGGAGTGCAAAGATGTTGAGGAAAGGATGACGATTACAAAAAAAAATCAAAGATCATGAGGAATGGATAAAAAAACTAAGAAGAATCTCAAACTGTCTGAAAAATGGCTTGCTGACAAGGATGCAGAAATGATAGAACTTGGTAGGCAAAAGGACCGTATGGAAGATAAAATAAGAATAAGGGACGACTACATAACAATGGAGAAAGAAAAGTATCCTTTGCAATTCCCTTAAGTTAATTACCGTTGTTGTACGTTTACTATATGTTTCTAGTTTATTGAATGTATTAACTTCGAGTATTAGTTATTATTCTACTAGTAATTATGGAGTAATATAATCATAATATTACCCCATCATCTTTAAAATAAACACCCCAGCTCAAAGACAAATTAATGTCCTCTAAAACAAAACATAATTAATTATAAATACAACATCAATCATTAAAATCAAACGTTGAACAATAATCTTCTCTCTGCATCCCACTCGTCCAACGCGCCTCTTGTGTCCCGTGCGTCTCTAGCATCTCCTGAGTCCCTTCTGTCCCTTTCCCTTTTCCTTTTGTGTTACTACCTGTTGTCGTACTAGTTTTTCTAGCCTTTTTTTGTTTCTTTGGGACCAATGTCGGACAAGTCGTTGCATTATGTGTTGTACTATCACATCTACTACACCTTCTAACTATAGGTTCCTCACCTTGTGACGGAATACGATTTCTTTTTCTCGGTCTACCAGCTTGACGTGTATCCATTATCGGGGGTTTCACAACCATCATGTCAGTAGGAATCTCCCAATCACACGGTTCTGGAAGGGGGTAAACCGGCTCCTCATATGTACTTCGGTATGTTTCCATTTTGTAAGCATCTATAGCCAGATGTCCGAAGTTAGTTTTTTTCAAGTGCTTCAAGACCATTATCACATGACCACAAGGCAACCCAGTTCCTTCCCAATATTTGCATTTACAAGTCTCTTGACTCAGATCAACGATGCCACCATGTTTGAAATCATGAACTTCATAAAGTGCATCTGAAACACCAGAAACGGACCATCCTGTCGTACGCTCTTCATTTTTACTAACTACTTTTTCAGCCCACTCGGTTAGCACTGTTGAACGTTCCCTATAAAGAAGATATATATAATTAACTAATTATTCGACCTAATTAAAGTCAAAATAAAATTCATACCTCCTTCGATGCGACGCTTGTAACTCCATTCCTGTGAAAGACGTCGGAAGAACTCAAGAAGGGGTATTATAGGCATCTTCCTTGCATCTACAGATAAAGCATTCATGGACTCTGCACTGTTCGAGGTCATGTAATCGTAACTTTTCGATGGCGAATATGCTCTAGTCCATTTAGCACGGGGAATTTCACTTAGATACGCTGCTACTTGCTGCCTAGTATAACTAAATCTATACCACAATTCTTCAAAAACATTTCTTTTGTAAGCTTTCACAAGCCTCCAAAACAACACTTTTGTTTTATCATTTTTCCCAAACTTGTGTACTATGTTTCCTAGTATATGAAAAGCACACAAGCCATGATGAGCATGTGAAAAAACATTTTCAATACTAATGTGAATTGCATCGGCCCTATCAGTTACAAAAGTCAATTCTTGACAATCACCAACACATTCATACAACTTTTCAAGAAACCATGTCCATGTAAGACCACTCTTTTTTTTTTGCATATTCCGTGCGCAAGGGGCAGTATCTGGTTGTTCCCATCCATAGCTATTGCATGCAATATGGTTCCCTTAAAAGCACCCTTCAAATGGGCACCATCCATAATTATAACTTTACGACAAAAACTTTTGAACGCTCATATCTGCAATATATAAAAATGGAACACATAAACACTCTATAATTTGTTTACAAAAATTATATATTAAATAACAAGTTTTTTGTATTTACCGTGCTCCCAATGGCATAAAAACAACACTCAAAACAATCTTCAGAATTTGTTTGAATATACGCAACTGTACCGGGATTATGCCTCTTCAAATTGTGAAAATAAATAGGAAGTTTGGCAAAACATTCTTTAGAGGATCCCAACAACAGTTCCATAGCATATTGTTTTGCACGCCAAGCTTGTTTGTAATCTACGTTGATTTCCAGCAAAGCATTCAAATCCCTTGATATTTCATTAGGCCTCCAAACCTTGAAACGAGTTTTTCCCATAATCTCATGCAATATAGTACCCATGAATTTTTTATTAGCATGCTTATGATTAGGGTGTATCTGTAATGACGAACATGTGTACACGTTGTTGAAAGTCCTGATTTCAAATTCATCAGTGGGATCAAGGCGTTTTGCATACAAATGCCAACTACAGTTCTCAATTTCACAATATACCTCATAACCATTTTTTGTTAGAATGTTTGGTCTTAAACTGAAACTTTTCTCTTTTTGATTTAAGACTCAAAGAAAAAATTAGTTGTTGTTTGTTGTCATATGTTTGACGAACAAACATATCATCATTTGTACCTAAACTGTGAAATGGTCCGGGTTCAACAATAGGATCAGGACAATCAGGTATGGGAGGCATACCGTAAAATATGTTTGAAGCTTTTTTCCCGTGTGTGAACTCATCTTCTGACCATCCTTCATTTGACTCTTCACCGTCTGAGAAAGTTTTGTCAGTCAGTCTTCCAAACTCATATAAATTTTTTTCTTCAACCGTATTCAGTGCCACAGTTTCTTCTTCTGGACAATCTTCAACATTATCAGATACAATGTTTTCAACATTGTATGGTACAACTTTCTCAACCGCTTCTGTCTGTTCGACCAATCCTTGAAACACCTCTAAATACAAATGCACTATCTCCTTCGTTTCAGAAATTACATTTCTGAGTTGATGAACATCTGCTTCATCTAAAATATTCATCACATACCCATGAACCGGGTGTTGAAATGACAATGATATATTACTATTGAACACCTTAGCCTTACTTTTCACCAAATCAAACAATATTCGACAATCAAAATTAGGTGGAAGCAGTAAATCCAAGTTGTTTAATTTTGGTCTAACGTAGGTGTTAATCCCATTATTTATCTGCCAAAAACCTCCAGTACATAAAATAATAAAACTCATATTTGGTTTTGAAAATCAAATGAAAACGAACTGATCTATCGACCAAAATGAAACAAACATATGAAAAAGAAACTTTTGTATCAAAAAACTCTTCAAAATCCGCTCCAACCACCCATTCCGCGGAGGCATTACTCTCTCCGCAGAGCTCCGCGTCGACCCCTCCGCGGACTAATTTATGACTTCCAAACTGCTCCCTTCGTGGAGGCATTACTCTCTCCGCGGAGCTCCTCGTCGACCTCTCCGCGGAGCAACATTAAAAAGGCTAACAACCTATTTTTCGACCACTTTGCAGAGATGACGTCATTCCGCGGAGGGCCCTCCACAGAATGCATGTCTATAGCTGGAAAAAAAAAAATTGTGTCTAAATTTTTAAATTTCCCCATTTTTTTTGTCTATAGCCGGTATTTTCTCTTATTGTTTTAACTCATTTAGTTTTTTAGTCATAACTTTTTTTTACTTTGATTTTTTTTTTTTGAAAAAAACATAGTTTAATTTTTTTTAACAAAAAGAGCACAATTATCAAAATTCTTAAAAAAATAATTTTTAATTTTTATAAAAAAAAAACCCTGATTTTTTTTTCTAAGAATTATAAAAAATAAGAAATATTCTACTTACTATACAATTGACCTTGTAAAAAGAATTCATAAATAATAAGTTTTTGAAGTGTTTATATTTTAATTTTAAGAAATTTTGTTTTTATAAAATACAACAAAAAAATTTATACCCAAATTCAAAAAAGCAAATGATAGAGTTGTTTATAATATTATTTTAGTAAGTTTTTTTGTTAAAGAAAAATTTCAAAAATATAATCGTTTACGATATTAATGTTTGTTTAAATGATTCTATATTTCTATAAAAAAACAAAACGTAAAAATTCTCGTTCTCCAACTTAAAAATCCTTTTAAAAGTTTGTTATACATAATATAATATATTATGAACTTTTTTGAAAATATATTACGAACTTTTTAGAAAATAAATTTTAAAACATAAGGTGTTTTAGATACCAAACTTAATTTTAAAATAAGTTTTTAAAAAAATGTTCAATATAATATGATTCAAAATGAGATGATTCGAAATGTTTATGATTCTAAATTTGTTATGATATAAAAATATTTTGATTCAAATATTTTATAGTCCTTAATTAGTATATCTTTTATGATTCAAAAAACATAATGATCTAAATGTTATTCTGAACAAAACAATTATTTAATTCAATATATTATGATACAAAATCATATGATTAAAAATATAATATGATGCAAAATACAGTTAAAAAATTTATTATACAAAATTTTATTATCCAAAAATATATAATGTATAATATTGTTATGATTCGAATCCTTTTATAATTGTCAAACATTAAAATTTTGAACCGACATTTAATTCAAAAATCAAAAAAATCAAAAAACTAAGAGAATTAAAAATTTGAACCGATATTATCCAAAAATATATGATGTATAATATTGTTATGATTCGAAACCTTTTATAATTGTCAAACATTAAAATTTTGAACCGACATTTAATTCAAAAAAATAAAAAACTAAAAAAATCGAAAAACTAAAAAAAGATGACAAAAAAACACATGAAACTTCAAAGAGGTACTAAAAACACTAAAAAAAGAAATAGTATCAAAAAAATATAAAATAATATATAAGTATACAAAAGTGAAAAATTATAAAAAAAGGAAAAATAATATAAAATTCGAAAAACAAGCATAGAGTTTTTTAATTTTTTTTCTTAAAAAATAATAAGTTAAAAACAAATAATAAAAAAAAACAAAAAAAGATATAAAAACTGAAAAACGGAGTATATGTTGCTCTAACATTTTAAAATAATTTAAACACAATCAAAAATGATAAAGAAAAGGAAAATCTAATTTAAATGACGTTCCAATGACATGCGTTACACATTATTAACTTATCGAATCTGTATTACATTCCACGGACGTGCGTCACATGCGAACGCGTCACAACCTACTAATTATGTTTAACTTTTATGCTCTTAACGAAATCAGTGGTGGATAATTGACGTCGTGGTTCCTATAAACTTTAATAATTTTTTGCAATAAAAATATGTATAAATCATTTTTTTATTCCATAATTTAAGTCAATTCAATGATATTCTATTAAAACAAAACTAAAAGAAAAATAAAATTGAATTTTTTTTGTTTAAAACTACGTCATTTTGTATACCTATACTTAGGTATATAACAACCACATATTTATTTTTTTCATATAGGAAATCTAAGGTTCTAGCATGACTTTGACTTCTCTCTCTCTTTCTCTCTCTCTCTCTCTCTCTCTCTCTCTCTCCCCTCTAGAGGTGTGACAAAAAATCAAAACCGAATAATTGAACCGAACCAAATGATATTTTGTTTATTTGGTTCGGGTTATTTGGTTGTTCAGTTATTTCGGTTTGGTTAACCGAATAAGGATATCTTATTTGGTTTGATTTTGATTAAATTTTCATAACTTTGGTTAAACCGAATAAACTATTTAATTGTTATATAATTTTATAGTTTATATATAAACTAACATTTTATATTTAAATTAGATGGTTACTAAAACATATTTTCATTACTCATTATTTAGTTATTAACCATTATAAATTTATAATTGTTTACATGTATTAAAGAGCAATAACTAAATAGTCAAATGTCAATTAACCTTCGGTTATTTCTTTCATCTTCATATATGTCTAAAGCTATATTAACGCATCTACAACTTGTATGGCTACAACGATACTTTAAGACAATATATCATAAAAAAACTAAATATTATATGTTGTATATTAGTGTTTTTTATTCATTTAGTAAAACTTCAGTAAGTTTTTTTTTCCTTTAGTTTAATGTTTGTTTTTATATGCAAAATTTTATTTGGTTTAATCGGTAACCAAACCGAATAAACTGTAACCTAATTAACCAAAACCGATTAAACCGAACCTTATTTGGTTTAGTTATGATAGTTATAAGATGTAAAAGACCGATAAAACCAAACCGTATAAACCGAAAACCAAAAAAACCGACCGAATAACACCCCTACTCTCCTCTCTCTCTCTCTCTCTCTCTCTCTCTCTCTCTATATATATATATATATATATATATATATATATATATATATATATATATATATATATATATATATATATATATATATGGAGAGAGAAGTCAAAGTTATGCCAGAACCTTAGATTTCCTAATATGCTCAATATTTTTCAAAACATAAAACCTATCTATGTTAAAAAGGATATTTATTGGACCTTTTTTTTTTAAAATGTGCATATACACATTTTGTACTTTTTTTTCAAAATTTTCTAAACTAACATAACTATGAGACTCTAAAGTTACAGTTTAAAAGAATTGCAGCTTGAAAACATTAAAAAAAAAAAAAAAAAAAAAAAAAAAAAAAAAAAAAAAAAAAGAGTGCATAAATGCACATTTGATGCACATTCAGGTATGCATATATGCACACTTTAATGAAATAAAGTTCGTCAAATCTTTTTTTTAACTTATGTCTGTTTTAAAAGCATCATTTCCAATCCTATGGTGGTGTTGAGTTTAATAAATATTGATCAGATTAGAAGTTGTTAGTATCTCACGTCCGAGTTTTCAAAAAACTATTTTCTCTCTCTCTCTCTCTCTCTCTCTATATATATATATATATATATATATATATATATATATATATATTAAAACCAATGTTAATTGTTGATAATTTTAATGTGATCGGGAAAGAAGAAATTGACTCCACAGTCAACACATACGTGATGACTTTTATCAAAAAGCAGAACATTCAGCCCCTCTATTCCCAACATAACCAAGAGGATGTCCACTTCACACCCCTCTATAGTCTATATCAATCCACCAATTATTTGCATTTTAAAAATGAAATAGAAAGAAAATATAAAGTATGAAGGATCTTAGAAAATCACAATTGTATTATTATAATTGAGTTAATGTTTTTTTTATGTATTATTTATTTTTTATTTATTTTTAAATGATTTGGTTAGTGATTTGAAGCCAACTTCATCAAATTAGTTATTTCGGTTAGGTCTATGTTTAAACCCAAGGCTTCCAATATAAAAGACTTCCTCCTCTATTGAGTGGATTAGTCCCGAATTAGCTTTTATGTATTATTTACTAGTAGTTATATTATCTTTCTATATTAGAAATACAAATAAATGAGTCATGTACTTTCTTAGTTTCTATTTTTTTCCAACATCAAAATCTTACGTTAATAATTACTAGTATGGATCCTTGTCTAAGATTAGAGATGAAGAACAAGATGTAGGCATTTACAAAGAGTAACATCATCCATATCATTGTAATAATTTTAATTTTATAATTATATCACATCAACTTTTATAATTACTATTCGCATCAAAACAATAAAAATTCTCTTTCAAAATGGATCAACAACTAGTTTATAAATTTCAAAATATATCTGGAACTAATTATAATTAATACTGTAATATATATATATATATATATATATATATATATATATATATATATATATATATATATATATATGAGACATATATCTAAGCTCTACACTAACTTGAAACCTCATGTATTTTGATACTTTCCAATGATTTTACAGTGCTTTTTATAAATATTATTAATTTCTTTAACATCAAACATGTTATATATACTATTACATGTGACTTTAGATTCTATATTTATCTCTTTGTTTCTTGGTTTCCTTAAAATGCTTTTAGCCATGAATATTTATGCAATGTGTTTATGAAATGTTGCTAACGTTTTGTGTTCATGTTTTTCACTCTACATTGATTTGAAACCCTATGAGTTTTCATATTTTTCAATGACTTTCCATTACCTTTTAATAACTATTATTAAATTATTTAACATCAAACATGCTATATAAACCATTATATGTGACTTTAGATTCTATATTATATCTTTAGTTCTTAGTTTCCTTACAAGGCTTCTACCCTTGAATGTTTATGCAATGTCTTTTATGAAATGTTGCTAACATTTTGTGTTCATATTTTTCTTTGGTAGATTTCATATAATCATCTATATTTATATCCATAATCTATATCTATATATATTTATAATGAAAGCATTTTTCCTTTCACCGCATTTATTTGAAACTCCAATAAGACATTTTTACTCAAATCATATTTCATTTGAAACCTCATATTTGAATGAATATCACTCAAAAATCTATTAATAATGATTAGCCA